TATATATATATATGATAGATGGATAGATAAATAGATAGATAGCATTTGATGCTTACAAAAGAATACATGTAATCTGTATGCAGGTTATAAAGCACAACTATGAAGTGAACACTAGTAAAACTGCTACCTCACTTAATAGCTAGAACATTTCCATTAACCTGGCAGCTACCTCTGTGTGCCTTCTCTTTCCCACCCCCTGCCTTCCTGACAGCGGTCATCATAATCTTGAATTCTGTGATGGATAGTCCTATGGCAGATTGATTGCATAAATAACCCAGATTAATGTCGTCCTATGACTGTTGCTTTATAAAATGATCATCTCTTCCCATTCTGAGCCCAGTCTTGGTCATGTGACTTGCTTTTGCTAATAGGATGTAAGCAAATGAGACGCAAGTAGAGTTTTGGAGAACGCATGGGTGTTCCTGCTTGTCCCTTTGCAAGCTGGTCCTTGTTTATTGTGCATCCTCGTGAGAACAGGGTCATGCTAGCTCACTGGATGGTGACAGACACGTGAACCAGAGCTGTTCACACTACATCATGGTTACCCTAGATCTGTCAATAGCCAAGCAGAGAACATGTGTCAGCCAAGATTACCAGAACCGCTTGAGTGACCTGTAGCTCCATGGACGCATGAGCAAGCCCAGCCAAGATCAGCCAAGCACTGGCAATATCAGATGAACACAACAGACTTGTGAGCAAGATAAGTAATACGTGTTTCTTTAAGACATTAAATTTCAAGGTGGTTGTTTGCAGTATTGTTTTAGCAATCAGCAACTTTTATGATTCTCTTCTTCTTTTTAAATAAAACCACAATGCATACAGCACTGAAAAATATATTGCTTGGTTCTATCTTTTCATCTTTCTCTCTCTTTTTCTAATTTTTATAATTTCATCACAACATATGTTTTCTTTTTCGACTTATTTTGCCTACCATATTTTTAAATTTCATTTACGTAATTTCATGTCGTTATAGTGATTAATTTTTTCTGTTATTTAATATTTTTGTGAATATAAATTGTTTGTTTCTGTTAATGGGCATTTGGCTTTCAGATGGCCATTTATGTTGTTTTCGGTTTGGGTTATTATAAACAATAAACCCAACCATATATGTCTCTTAGTGCACATTTGCAAGTTACCTATTTGTAAATACACCAAAGGAGTACAATAGCAGGACTATGGGTGAGAATGCCAAATTATTTTCCAAATTGTCAGTAACAATCTGTACATCCATCAGTGCGTATACTGTAAGGCCCCCACGAGTGTCCACATTTAGCTGGCGGAAGCAGAAGGAGCATGCAGGAACCCTTGTGGGAAGTGGCACACATCACCCTGGTCATGTATCATTCACTCAAACTCAAAGACATGGTCTTGTCGCTGCAAGGGTCACTGTAACATGTAGTCCAGGAAGGAGAAGAAATGAGCAGGCTACATAGTCAGTCTATGACATAGCTTCTAATGCTTCTGATACTGAAACATCACTTTCTATTAGATAAGCCCTCTACAGTCTATGAATCAATCGAATTTATGTATTTTTTTACTTTCACTTTCTCACCACCTCTCTAGAGAAATTAGATCAATTATCATTATCCTCATTTTATAAGTGAGGAAACTAGGGCTCCAACTGGTTAAGTGACTTGCCCAAGGTCACAATGTTAGTAATTTGCTAGAGCCAGCGAATAATCTCAACTCCTTTTCCCCAAAGTCTTGTCCTATTTCTAATATAATTAACCTTTCTTCTCCCAAATATGCATTCACTCAACAACTGAAATTGATGTTTGCATAACTACATGGCTATTGCAATATGCTTTCTTCTGAAAACATAAAAAATGAGCATCACAAGGTCCTGCCATCAGAATCTCACCATTTTGAGTTTTCTATCTGCTATGCCCTGCTCTCTCTCCCTGCTTTCTCCATTTCCTCACTGTATACTCACAGTTCAATGTACTCACGCTAGGTTCACCAGTAATTTCCAGTTCAATAAATACAGTGAGTACAGTTCAATCTTTGTCTTATTTAAATACTGTACGATCATTCCAGATGGTGACCCTTTTCTCTTTGTAATGCTGCCTTGCTTCTATTCCCATGATCCAACACTCTCCTAATAGTCCTTCTACCTCTCTGGTTAATTTTATTTAATAATTCAAATTGTTGCTGTCTTATGCTTCTTTTTGTAT